TACATTACTCATTTTTATTTGAAAGTATAAATTTTCCAACTATTAGAAAGTGCTTGTCAATTTCAATTATGCTTGATATTAAGTAAGAACATGTTATGCTTTCTAAAACAGAATCAACTTACGTATGATGAATACATTCTAATACGTGTATGAACACAAAATAAGGGGTTTGCTTAGAAGCTAGAGAAATGGCATTTTGCAATAATTTTTAACAAATTAATATAGCATACATTTGCATATCGAGTTAGAAATAAATTTTTATTATTAAAGGAGTCACACACACAGAATAAAAAGTCTCAGGTCGCTATTATGCCTTTGCCTTTTAACAAAAAAATGTTTATATAAAAAGTGCTCGTTCAACTTTAAAATAAAACATTTTAAAGCTGCATTTGATTCTTTTTTCATCTACGAAACTGATAAAGATTTATCGGCCAGGTGTAAAAAAATTTGGCAGGCATGGTAGCACATGCCTATAGTTCCAGCTACTCAGGAGGCTGAAGCAGGAGGATCAGTTGAGCCCAGGAGTTTGAGGTTGCTGTGAACTACAATGATACCACTACACTCTAACCCAGACAACAGAGCTAGACCTTGTCTCAAAAATGAATAATAACACTTAGATTTCCCAGTACCCGGGAAGAAGAACACTTTTATGTTAGTGGGTGCATAAACTGCCACACACGTTCATGTGCAGCATGTATTTAAAGCCTTAAACATATTCTTTTATTTGGTAAAACTACCTGAAGGATTTCACAAAGATGTAACACTGCTTCATAATGGTCAAAAATTCAAAACGACTTAATACTCGAAGTAGAGCAAGACAAAATCAATCAGAAAACCTAATGGTGGTGTTAACTATATTGTAATTGTTTTTCTTTCTTTCTTTTTTTTTTTTTTTTTTGAGACAGGTCTCACAGTGCCTCCCAAGCTGGTGGACGGTGGCATGATCATAGCTCACTGTAACCTAAACTCCTGGGTCCAGGTGTCCTTCTTGCCTCAACCTCCCTATTAGCTAAGACTAAGTGAACCATCACACCTGACTAAACTTAAAAATTTTTTTTGTAGAAACAGGGCCTTGCTGTGTTACCAGGCTGTTCTTAACTCCTGGCCTCAAACAATCCTCCTACCTTAGCTTCCTAGAATTCTGGGATTACCGGCGTGAGCCGCCCTGCCCTGCCATATTTTGTTTATATACATATAATGACATAGCATATGATGTGGAAAATATGCACAACATATTAAGTGAAAAACAGCTGAAAGCAAAACAGATTCTGCCTTCACCTCCTTTTTACTTATTTGCATGTTCAAGTGTTGCTAAATTATCTTAGCATTATTAGCCACATGCACCAGGGCTGTTGGGTTTGAACCCAGCCGGGGCTGCTAAACAATGACAACAGTAACAAAAACACAGCCAGGCATTGTGGCGGGCGCCTAAAGTCCCAGCTACTGGGAGGCTGAGGCAAGAGAACTGGTTAAGCCCAAGAGTTGGAGGTTGCTGTGATGCTACGGCACTCTGCTGAGGTTGACATAGTGAGATGCTGTCTCAAAAAAAAAAAAAAAATTATCTCCTGCCCTCACATTCAATTAGCACCAAGAAGGAGAAGGAAGAATTGGAATCTCCCAGGTTTGTAAGTTCTAGAAACTCTACAAATCTGCTGTCACTTTCAGCTGATTCAAGAGAAGTACGTGATTCTGCAAGCTGCAAGGGAGTCAAGGAGGGCTGATGGTGGACATGCGCTCGCTCCCCAGTGAATGTGAGTTTCAGGGAGCAGTGTACAGATGTGCAAGAAGAAACCGCCAGTCCTCCTGGGCTCACCCAGGCTGTGGATCTTCTCATACCTTCCACCAAGGGAAAGAAAACTATTATATACTTTGGCAGTTTTTAACTACTTCACATTTCTAATTTCTGGTATCTAAAATCTAATACGATTTGCTACAGGAAAAAAACATCCTCCAAAACCAGAGGAGATAAACAGAGACTATGTGGGGCTTCCATCACTGCCGTCCCTGCCCTGTGCCCTCCCCATTTTCTTGCCTATAGGCTATTCATTCAAAGATGGTGTCAAGGAAGCCACAGAGTACACTGCAAACAAAGAAGGAATAGTCTTGTAGCATCAACTTCTTAGTAGTAACAGAAAAAGGAAAAAGTAGATATTTAAAGAATTGGTAACAATAGAAGGACCAGTGAAACACACACTTGTGAAGCTCTATCAACATAAAACTATCATTTTCCTGTGACAAGGAGCTCTGCTGTACTGAATGAATCAGAGAGCACCTCCTAAAGAGAACACGTGGCCACATCCATAGTGTCTATCGGAGGACACTGAAACCTGGAAGGAACCTCTGCAGTAGTCTCACTCTGCTGCTAAAGGAAAATCCAATGGATGGGAGGGCACGGGGCGCAGGGCGCGGTGACTCACGTCTGTAATCCAAGCACTCTGAGAGGCCAAGGCAGGTGGATTGCTTGAGCTCAGGAGTTAAGAGACCAGCCTGAGCAAGAGTGAGACCTGTCTCTAATAAAAATAGAAAAAAAGTAGCTAGACACCGTGGCAAGTGCCTGTAGTATTAGGTACTTGGGTACTAGGTACTTGAGAGGCTAAGGCAGGAGTATCACTTGAGCCCCAGAGTTTGGGATTACTTGATCTACAAAGACATCATGGCACTCTACCCAGGGTGACAAAGTGAGACCTTGTGTAAAAAAAAGAGAGAGAGAGGGAGAAAAAAAGATAATCTACTGGGTGCACAAATCCATTAAATAGAAAGGCAAGTAGAAACGTTCAGTTTTATACAAGGGAATACATAAATTATCACGAGAGTAAGAAAAGCAGGGCATGACATAGCTCCCCTTACGGACTTCGATTGAGCCTTAAGTCCTGAACAATTTCATAAACTGGAAATAAAAGTTTATTCCTAACTGTGGAGGTCTGGGTGGGACAGGTGTACACGAGATTCATAAAGCAACAATTATAATAAAAATCCTAATATCTACAAACACACACCAAAAAAACTATCATTGTGAACACAGTGTGGTATAATGCCTTCAAGAAAATCTCTGGTTAATAACACTTCATGAAAGAAAACTAAGTATTCCAGGTTAATTGCAAGGACAAATAAGTCATGGTCACTCTGAAAGACAATATAATGGCATTCAACAAGTGACCTATTTTTAAAATCTCACAAAAAAAAACACTTGCATAAGAAATCAAAGAGAAGTCCAATTTCAGCATTAAGGGTTTCTTCTGGGTTAAAGAATGACAGTAATATAATACCACGTGTGGGACTGGTTCAATTATTCTACAAGAATCCTTGGTGCACACAGTTCCATGAAAGATAATAAAATTCAAAGAAAAATTTCTTGTCAACAATACATTTTCCCAGGGAAAAAGTGATACACAGGATATATATGTGGCTGGAAGTGCTTGTTTTCCTCACCTAGAAAATCATGGATTGGCCTAAATCTCTTTATAAGTATAGTTCAGCTGTGAAACTCTAATTCTAGGGCTCCCATTTTAATGAGGCTTCAGAAATTTGCATTGCTTCTGTTGAAACTTTTTTTTTTTTTTGCAGTTTTTGGCCAGGGCCGGGTTTGAACCCACCACCTCTGGCATATGGGGCAGTGCCCTACTCCTTTGAGCTACAGGCGCTACCCTCTTGTTGAAACATTTTAAGGTGATAAAAGGCACACATTTCTCCCCCCGCCCCAGGCCAGTATCTGCAGTTTAAATAGTTTCCATGAAATACTGTGGGAGCTGCATGCGCAGGTAAAAGAAGGAGCCTATCACATAAACGCCAAACAAATTATGTTTCTTTCTTTCTTTTTTTTTTTTTTTTTTTTTTTCAGTTTTTGGCAGGGGCTGGGTTTGAACCTGCCACTGCTGGCATATGGGGCTGGCGCCTTACTCCTTGAGCCACAGGCGCTGCCCAACAAATTATGTTTCATGTCCATGTCTACATGGGTTTGTATCCAAGACAGGAAGAAGCCATTAGCAAACTCATTAATAAAAATCCTACGATTTTTCACGTTAAATTATAATTTATTAAAATGGGACAACTCTCTTGATGAGAATCATTATCCCAGACAGTAATCAGCCAGAAGGCAGACCCTCCTTGGAATTTACTTTTGCTGTATGGATACTGCATGTGAAGGAAGCCTACTGAGCACATTTGTTCTGGGCAAGCGTGTTAGCCCAGGTCTGCGCACAGGACGACATCTGATGACTAATCAGAAAAAGGCAAGATGCACGTGTTTAATAAATCTGAAAACTAACTGCAAGGCCTTTGTAAAGTCACTTTTATTCTACCATGTAAACAAAAGAAAAACACTGTCCAAAAAGAGTATTTCCTGATTATTATAAAGACCAAAGTGAAGCAGTTATACTATATTAGGAACTATTATAAAGCAGTGCAATACTGTTGAGGCATTCTATGCCGCTGTCCCTCCTACAGTAGACTGCCATAGGAATAATACAGAATTTTCCTTGGTCATTTAAAAACACAAATCTCTCCAGAGGTATACAGCCCCTCCAACCTACCCAGGAAATCACACGTCACATCACTCTGCTGCTGAGTCACCGAAGCTCCTTCCATAAGGGACAAACCTAACGTTCATTCCCTAGAATCAGAGGCACTTTAAAAATTACAGTCCTGCCTCTTTACTGCACTTAGCAGGGTCTGGAACTGCTCTATGGTATCTCTTTATTCTCTGCGGAAGATCACCTCCAATTACTGGCCCTTGAGAATATCACAATCTTTCTTCACTTAAATAGCATCTGGGTAGAAAGTCACGAAAGCGGCTCAGGAACACAGTACCTATGAGGGTCTCACATTAAAGCTTTCCAGCTTTAGCAGGAAGGCACTCAAATGATATCATTCTAGAAATTCTAAAATCTACAATTCAGAGAAACTCTCGTTTGAAAATAAAATTAAGCATTTTAAGATAAAGAACATCAAAATGCAATTTGAATCTAATGCAGCAACAGATTTTCTACCGTAGCCGTACTCACCTCTCCCGAGGAACTGCAAACCAGTACTCCGGCTGCTTCCTTCGTTTGCCGTACTGCTGGACCATGGCTGTGGTTTGGGTGGCAAAGGATTTTCTCATTGGTTTTCCCACTTTGATGCACAGGAACATGGGGGGGGTCTTGCTTTTTTCTTCTTTTGAAGGAAGCATGTCTGAATTACATAGGAAGAAACTTTCCTCAATATCGATAATGTTGGTGATACAACTACATCATATTGTAACTAATAAATGTTCTAGACTTTGTTTAGCACAAAGGCAAGAAGCTCTGGATGTTTTAGGTTGGACTACATCATGTGAGATGTTACATACTGAAAATAAGCATAAAAATCAACAGAACAGCAAAAAATGGAGAAGTGTGATAATCACCAGAATGCTCATTAACGATCGTACTGAGGACTCAATTACACCAGAATGTAATTCAGTTTAGAACTGACATCTCTCCAAAAAACACTTTAAATTCCTTTAGATTTAGAAATTGAAGGTAAGAAAGGAAAGTTACTCATGAGATTTTTTTTAAGTTGCAAACTACTTTCGAAGTAAAAATCTAGAAATCTATACCATAGGTCAAGTTCTAAATGTAGGATATCACATCCTGCAAATTTTCTCCCCAATTATTAATGTTATTATCCTAATAATTGGGGGGATTAATTAATGTCATTAGTAACAATACATTCTATTGAAAAAACATTGGTTTCAAACTATTTCGATATTACATGTATAAGTTTTAGAAAGGCAATTATATAACAGAAAACGAAGATCTTAAACAACTTACCTTCAATGGGTACTTGAATTCTCTTTAATAGCCATAACTGAATTTCAGATTTATTATCTGTTTGTGTGTCTTCACAACTGTTGTCCAGAGTTGGTTCCAGGGAGGAGTCTAGAGGCTCTTTAATCATACTTTCCTCTGTAGAAGGGTCCATTTTCATTGGAAGGGGCTCTATCTCTTTCACCCAGGTTTTATCTGGCTCTTTACTGCCCTCACTTGAGGGATCACCTGCTTGAGGAAAAGAACTACTAAGGGTGATGTCTATTCCCACTGGTTCGATACTTTTGCCATCACTTAATTCTGCCTTCTGCAAATTTTCAGATAACTGTGACCCTTCTTTGTTCTTATGAAGGTAATATTCAATAAGTTTAACTTTATCGAGATCTTCATGTATGTTCAGTGTGTTTTCCACCTGGCTGTCTGGGGACCCAGACTGCTTGTCCACTTCTGGCATCATATCTTGCTTTTCACAGGTTTCTAAATCTAGGGCCCCCTTCAGTTCAGCATCATTCCCTGCTTCTGAAAAGTTCAAGGTTAACTGCACCTGCTTTTCCCTAGCAGAATTGATTCTCTGTGACTCAGCCTTCTTCCGCTCTTCTGAGTTGACAAAAAGGCACTCCTTCGAGGGGTCCCTTTTGTCCATTCCATGATCAGGTTGAGAAGGAAGTTCTTCTAAGTCCACGAAGTCATCGTCTTCCCCTAAAAGAGAGTTTTCTTTGGCTGAAGATTCAAATGCAGAGTGAGTATCTGAAGGTCCCTTGCTGAGCTTAGTCACCGTGGGAGAGTCTCTGGCTGTCTCCTTGGAAGATTCCAGCTTCCTTAATTTTTCTGACACCGAGCTGCCTGAGGGCTTCATATGCGTGTGTTCTGTTGATTTCTCCAAAGGCCTTGTTGAGTTGGAATCCAAAGTAACAGTTCTCTCTGCACTCTGCTGTCGTCTTTCCTTGTTGATGGATTTGAACTTGCTGAATGGGTTGATGTCCTTTTCTGAAGCCAGGTCTTCCCATTCTCCAGGCCTGTACAGAGGACAAAGATCCTGAGGTAGGTCACTGTGGGGGGAAAAATGGTGGGTGCACATGGAATGTTAAAAATAAAATCAAAAACAAAATGGAGGAAAGGCAAACGACAAAACAGAAACCCAACCAAAAACCAAAACACAAACACGCCACAACTTAAATTTATGTTTAAATGGTTTCAGAATAAAAAATAAAATCAAGAAACTAACTTCAAAGTAAAACATAAATCAACTAAAAGTAATGGAAAAGAATGAACCATGAGAGGTGCATATTCTTTCTAGAAGCACACAATGGTTTGGGAAGTTATACATGAAGATGGAGATGTTACCCGTAAGATTTTCAAATATGAAATAATAATGTGTCTGAGTTTTATGAAGGAAAGAACAAAGGAGAAGAAATATTTTAAGTCTAAAATTCCTAATATAGTCAAAATTTCCCTTTTTATAAAATAGTCTAGAAAATTCTATATTAATTCTGGAAGGCTCACTGACTCAAAGTTACTCATTTAACTGCTTTCTCTATAAAGTAAATGACCTTGAACCCTTATTTGAGGTCTCACGGCTTAGGATCTGATGTTTCCAATCATAGACACCCCTCTAAAAGTGCAAAATAAACCTTCCACTGTTAATGTGAATATATAGCAGTTGCTCCATATTACAGTTTAAAAATTTAATGAAATCTTGTCAAGAACGCTCTTATGGCAGTGCCTATGGCTCAAAGGAGTAGGGCTCTGGCCCCATATGCTGGAGATGGCAGGTTCAAACCCAGCCCCGGTCAAAAACTGCAAAAAAAAAAAAAAAGCTCTTATGTATAAAACTTAGTTTAAATTTCTTAATTAAATATTTCTTATTTTATAACAGTACCACTTTACTTTATGAAAATCAGGGCAACTTGTTTATCAGCTGAAATTATTTTTCCTTAATAACAGATGCTTTACAACCCAAATTTGAATTACAGAAAAATAATGGTTAAATATGTTCTTCCAAGCTTAAAATAAATGATCAAGAAATATATACTTTAAAAAACATGACTGGAAATATCTTGAGGGACCCCATATTACCACTTCCCACAACCAGTAGCAGTGCCATTGTGGGGTTAAAATACAGAGATACAAAAACCCATTTAAAAAAACATTTTCAATTTCAGAAATAATTATATTTTCTAAAAAAGCTAGATCTTCTTCCAGTAATACTTTATCTATTGTTCTGGCTTTGGAATAAATGGTTATGACATTAAAGCAATGAGGTATCAGGGAGTTCTGAAGTTACAAGAAGATTGCCTTCCCAGAGCTATATAAACCACTTCAATGGAAAAGGTCCACGGCTTTTTCCAATAGAAAATAAAAGCCTACGTAATTGCTTGGCTCTGATAAATGCTTAAAAAAGCCTCTTTAATTCATAATTCATTTCATTTCAATGAGCATTCCCTGAGCCCCTAAGTGCTATAGTTTAGAATACAATTGTGACAATGTTTCTCTTGTGCAGAAAGCTAGGTATACAAAATGGGTCTGCCCAACGCTAGCATCCCAGGATATGTTAAAGATGCTTCAAGCCTAGAGTCAAATAAGTTACTGCAACGTAGCCTAATCTCCATATTGAAAGTCAGAATCTAATTTGGCATATTCAAAGCTGTAAGAGGTCCTACAACAAAGAACCCAGGCTGTCCGTATACTTAACAAGTAAAACTTTCTTCTTAAACATCCCTTTCGCAACTCCTTCCTTCCTTATCAAACTTGACCCCCACAAAAAATCAGCCTCCTAAAAACCTGTCCAGTCCTCCCTTCCTGTACTTCTACCTATCTCAAGCGGCCAGTAGCCTACTTGAACTTAATTTAGCCATCTGCTTTTCCTGCACTGCAGCTGCCAAGCACTGCTGGGACAAAGTACATAACGATGTCAACGGCTCTGGTATTAATTAATATTTTCCAGACTTAGCCAGGCACCTAATGATGATCAATTCTTTCAGGTGTTTTCTTCCTACTCTGTGGCAACTGGAGTTACAAAATGTCCTACACACACACACTACAAAATTTGAGAATGAGGAGACCTTTTGTAGACACACTCACCACTTTTTTTTCTGAGACAGGGTCTCTGTCACCTAGGCTGGAGTCCAGGGCCACTAATGTAGCAGTCTCACCCCTAAGCTCAACTGATCCTCCTGCCTTAGCCTCCTGAGTAGCTGGGATTACAACAATGGGCTAGCATTCCTAGTTAATTTTTACATTATTTTTTTGCACATACAGGGTCTTACTATGTTGCCCAGCCTGGTTTTGAACTCCTGGCCTCAAGCAATCCTCCCAGCTTAGCCTCCCAAAGTGCTGGGGTTACAGGTATGAACCACCATGCCTGGTCCCCACACAGAATTTAAAAAATTATTTGCATACTGTAGCTAGATAAGTTGTACTTGATATTTTACCATTATACTTTTAGGAATAATGACATTTTAAGCAATATGAAACTTTGAGAGAACTGAAATTCTGAAGACAATACAAAGTTTATTTCACACTGATTCCACTCACATATTCTGTTCATTAGAGTAAAAATCCTTACTATACCTGCATCCAAGGCAGAAATCAAAGCACAATCCTGAAATAATTTCAACAGACTAGGAGGCAATTCTTTACTCTCCTCCCTTCTTGCTGTCATAGCATTATTCTTGAATTCTAGATCATTAAACATAACCTCACACTGAGAAAAAAAATATTTTTAAAGATATACATTCCCTTTCTATTATGAAACAGAATACTTAATATCCTAGGCCAGGAATCATCAAACCATGGCCCGAGGGCCATTTGTGGCCCCACCTAGGACATTTATCCGGCCCGCCGAGTGTTTTTGCCACTGCTGCCTGTCCTGCTTAGCAGCCAATTCGTCCTGGGCCCCGCAGTCCAGGACTCCAATGGTCTGAGGGGAAGTGAACTGGCTCCCTGTTTAAAAAGTTTGAGGACCCTTGTCCTAGGCAGAAGATGTACAACAGTATTACTCCATTAGAAGCCATTTTCTGTAAGTAATGACCCTATTTCTCTGGCCCTATCTACCTCTAAACTTACCTATATCCTTACCTGGTCTTCCTCCCCCTTGCTGCAGAGAACCTGATATTCATGCCTGCTTTTACTCCCTCACCTCCTCCTCACCTAAGATCCCAAGGCAGTTGGACACCCCCTTACCTGGTTCTCATGGAACACAGTGCACAATGCTGTTTATGGTGCCACTTAATTACACCACCTTGCATCTGATGCATCCAGCAAACTTCAGACTCCTCAAGGGTAGGCCCATGACCCACTCATCTTCATATCTTTGGTGCAAAAGAGTCATGTTCTAAGTTGCCCTAGCAGGCTTAGTCCATATGGATAAGAAGATCCCCATGGAACAGAGTTTTGGATGAGAACTAAAAGTTGAAATAATTAACAGCCCACTTTTAGCAAGCACTAGGCCATTTTCTAAGAGTTTTGATATATCGATGTGTTTAGTTCTTATAAAAGCCCTGTATGCTGAAGAATATTATTAACTCCCTTTTACAGAAGAGGAAAGGGAGGCGAAAGATTGAGTAAGTCATGTAGGCCATGGAGACATACATGGCAGAGACAGGGAAATACAGGCAACATGACTCCAGACCTGACCATCACGCCTAGGGCTCAGCCACCTCCCAAACCTCTCACCTGGATACTTCTGGAGGCAGAATTTAGAAACCACTTCAGGGCTCATGTTCTAGTGGTGTCTTCAGTGACTTGGGGTTGGGATCAGATGCTAAGGACCTCGGGTGTCCAGTGAACCTGCTACTATGACCCCTAGGGATTCTGTGTCTAGGTTTAGCTCTCTAGGCACCTTGCCTTCTTTTCATATGACTCCAAGGGCAAAAGGACAATAAAAATCAGATTACCCTGCTAAGTTAATCAATTCCCTAAGCCTTCTTAACTTTCTTTCTTCCTCTCTTTCTTTTCTAACAATAAACCCAAAATTATAAGGTACAGGTGATCAGGAGTAAAGTAATATTCATCTACACTTCAGAGAAAAAGCCAACCGATTATTCCCCTTCACACCATGGTGGGTGGGGGCAGCTGCTACACTGTCTACTCAAACCTCTCTCCTTATAGGATTAACAGAGGCCGTGAGGCAGGAAGACTGCATTTTCTAGAATTTACATGAAGACAAATAGAACTCTCCTAACTGGTTTGGTGCCCAGAGCACAGTAGTTATAGCACCGGCCGTATAGTCTGAGGTTGGTGGGTTCGAACCTGGGCTGGGACTGCTAAACAATGACAACTATAACAAAAACAAAACAAAACAGCTGGGCATTGTGGTGGGTGTCTGTAGTCCCAGCTACTTGGGAGGCTGAGGCAAGAGAACTGCTTAAGCCCAAGAGTTTGAGGTTGCTGTGAGTTGTGATGCCACAGCACTCTACTGAGGGTGACATAGTAAGACTCTGTCTTAAAAAAAGAAAAACAACAAAAAACTCTCCTAACTGAAAAGGAAACATTCACTAATTAGTAATAAGACTAAAATTCTTTCAGAGAAATACCATTTGTTCTTTCACAAATTTATTAAGAACCTATAACTGCTTTTCAGAAAAGTAAGCCAAACACACGCCATTTTCGCCTGCTGTCCTCTTAGCTTTCCTCTTTTATGTTCAACGTTCCCCCACCGACTTAATTGTTCCATTTCTTTTCATTTTCCTATTTTTTACATTCAGTGCACAAATTTTCCACCTTCAACTTCTCCTATACATAATCCCTTGATTCTACAAATGCCCTCGGTTTTTAACTGCATGTCATTCTCCTGATACCCCTTTTATTCTGGTAAACCAAGAAAGGTCTCTTACGATGGCAAGGCGTCTTTGATCTTCATGTGAGAGATGTCGTTGTAGAGAGCGATGGAAACAACCTCTTCCATGGGGCAGATGAGGCCGTACTCCTCACACCCGTTTTCAATAACCAAGGGATCCGACTTATGAGGGTCAAACATGATGTTATTCGGAGTGACAATCATGACGCCTCCAACCACCCCCTGCAGGAGAAAGACAGGACAGAATCACTTCAAGCAGAAATGCTCTCAGTAGCCATTCTGTTGTCTGTGAACCACAGTACTCCACGTGACAATCACATCCCCTCTAGAAGGTCTCAGAGACCAGGCTGAAGAAATGCAATGCTGAGTGCTGGGGGAGGTGGGGGGAGGCAGAGAAAACAGACTTGCCCTTCTGTGGCAATCAATTGAGCCCAATTCTAGCACAGCTGTTGCAACAGCACAACTGCGTAGTGATCCCAGTTCACCCATGTGTATCTCAGACTTCCTAGTTCTCTGTAAAATGAGATGGGGCTGTTCCAGGTGCTTCCAGATGGAGATCACGGAGCTTTACAATTTACTTAGCAAGAATTCACCACATATCTAAAAAGACATTGGTACTGTACTAAGGGAGCAGCTGTCTCAGAACCATGGTGCTGAAGAACAGCCCCAGTATTTTTCTCTAAAGTGTTTAGAAAGCTCACATACAGAAAAATTCAACCTCAAAAGGAATATGAAATTTCTGCAGCCAAACTGAATATAGCTGATCTATGGAAAGTAAAAGCATGAAGCAGTAGCTTGGTGGGATCTTGCTTGATCAGATTATGTTACAGACCTTAATGGCCACAGGGATGTTATCTGTCATGGACAGCGGGTTAAAATGACTCCTTAAAGCAGATAATTTATTTTGGTACTTTTAATGACTCTAGTGATCATCTTTGTGAAAAGTTCTGTACATCCAGTAACCTCATTACTGGGTATGTATCCAAGGGAAATGAAATCAGCATGTCGAAGAGAGAATCTGCACTCTCACGTTTACTGCAGCATTACTCATAATGGCAAAGATGTGGAATTGACCTAAGTGTGCATCAGCGGAAAAATGCAGAATACAAATGGGATGTATGTACACAGCAGAGTACTATTAACCCGTTAAAAAAAGAAATCCTGTCATTTGCAACAACACAGATGAACCCAGAGAACTTTATGTTAAGTGAATAAACCAGGTGCAGAAAGACAAATACTGTATGATCTCACTTGTGGAATTTTAAAAAGTTGATCTCATACAAGGAGACAGTAGAATGGCGGTTACCAGAGCAATGAGGGGTTAGGAGGAAGCAGGAGATGGCAGATATTGGTTAATGATTATGTAATTACAATTAGATAAGAATAAAAAAAAGTCCAGAATAGGCAACTACATAGATACATGAAATAGCTAAGCGACTGCCTGTGGCTGGCATGGGGGGTTAAGCTGTGGTAATGGGAGAGAAATGGAAAATGAATGACTGCTAATGGTTACAGAGCTTCTTTTCTGGGTGAGGAGAATTTTATAAAATTGATTGTGGTCACTGGTGGTTTTACAACTCTGTGAACCAAACTAAAAACCATTGGATTGTAAACTTTAAATGGGTGACTTATGTGATATGTCTTTTAAAAAAAGTTTTGGGTGGTGCCTGTGGCTCAGTGGCTAGGGCACCGGCCCCATATACTGAGGGTGGTGGGTTCAAACCTGGCCCTGGCCAAACTGCAACAGATAAATAGCTGGGCATTGTGGCGAGTGCCTGTAGTCCCAGCTACTTGGAGGGTGAGGCAGGAGAATTGCTTAAGCCCAAGAGCTGGAGGTTGCTGTGAGCTGTGTGACGCAATAGCACTCTACCTCTACCGAGGGTGACAGAGTGAGACTCTGACTCTTAAAAAAAAAAAAAAGTTTTGTATTTCAACCATTACTTATTATTATTTGCAAAAGTTTTCAAAGTACACCAATATATATTTTCCTATCACAGTAGAATCTCTGTAAATTGACCACCCAAGGGACTGTAACAAATAGGTCAACACACGCAGGTGATCAACTAAGGAACTAGCTCTACCATACTGATACGCGCATGTGGCGCAGGTCTGGTCTATGAAAATCAGGTCAACTTAAGGAAGTGGTCAACGTAGGGAGGTCATCAAGTATGAAGTCCGGAGTTTCTATTCTATTTGAAACCTGACAGAAGTCTCTGCTATGACCACAGGAATTCATTTGACACCAACCTAACTCTTTCTTCAGAGGCGAACCAAAAGTTGGATTTGTGCTTTGTAAAAAACATACAAACAAACAAACACCAACAAACAAAAAACTAAAAACACGACATAGCAGACACTGATACTAGCACTATCCCCAGCAAACACAGGCTAAGAGTTTACCATTTTCCTGTTTAGATGCAAAACTCTTAGCACAAATTATCTCTTTTAATTATCATACTATTACCTAATTTTTTAATTGTTCCTATTTTATAGATCAGCAGTTCTCTGCCCCTGTATTAAAGGGCCATGGCATTAGGAAGGTTGAGAACCACTGTTATAGATGAAGAAAATGGAAGCGTAGGAAATTTAAACACCTTGCCCATGCTCTCAGAGTTAGTGAGTGGTAGAGCTGGAATGTAAACTGTGCATCTCACTCCAGTGTTTGCTATTAAATACATACTCTAATGTCGCCCTAACAATTCACAGGCCAAGAACTAAAAGACGCAGTGATAAATCCAAGATCACAAAGAACCCTATTTCCACTCAATGACTGTTTTTCCCACAATAAGTAAAATTCTAGGCATCTAATAGAGGAAAACTAACAGGCATTTGTCAAATCTGAAACCGAAATTTTGCACCAGATATTTTAAGGTAGCCTCCATTCCAGTAACTTGTAAAATCAGTTTTCCACAGATTCCAAGAAAAGGAAACAAGTTGCAGAACTGCATACCTTTCCATCAGTGAAGTATCGACAGTTCATTTTTAAAAATTTCACCACGCCTGGCTCATCTTCTTCAGAAGTAGATGATAAGACTCTTTCGATGGGTTTTAAGGCCTTTCGTGCTAAGTCAGCATCCTTGCAAAAACAAAAATTTCCAAAATTAAAATTTTTCAAAACAAAATCTATGTATAAGTCAAGCCACATAAATTGCCTATAACTGTACTGTTTCCATTTAACTTGAATATAAAAAAAGGCAAGTACACTTTTTCCTTTAAGAAATGCCACAAATATTTCAATAGGTATCCAATAAAACTAACATTGAAAAAAAAAACCAAAGGCATATGTGTAAACTCATAAAACTGGCTAACAAAATGTCTTTGGAAAATAAGCTCAATAAAATATTCCTATTAGACTCATGATTCAAATTCCTTTAAAAAAAAGGAGGGCTGGCCCAGTGCTTATAGCTCAGTGGTAAGGGCGCCGGCCACAGATACCAGCGCTGGCAGGTTCGAACTTGGCTCACCCTGCTAAACAACAATAACAACAACAACAACAACAACAAAATAGCCAAGTGTTGTGGCAGGTGCCTGTGGTCCCAGCTACTTGGGAGGGGGAGGCAAGAGAATCACTTAAGCGCAAGAGTTTGAGATTGCTGTGAGTTTCGACACCAAAGCACTCTACTGAGGGTGACATAATGAGACTCTATCTCAAAAAACAAACAAGCAAAAAAAACGGACTACAAATAAACTATTCTATTAATTTCATTGGAAATTTAACCCATATATATATATATATATTTTTTTTTTTTTTTTTTTTTCAGAGACAGTTTCACTTTGTCACCCTTGGTAGAGTGCTGTGACGTAGCAGCTCACAGCAACTCCAGCCCCTGGGTGTAGGTGATTCTCCTGCCTCAGCCTCCTTAGTAGCTGGGACCACAGGAACCTGCCATAACGCCTGGCTATTTTTTGTTGCAGTTTGGCCGGGGATGGGTTCAAACCCGCCTCCCTCAGTATATGGGGCTGGCACCCTACTCACTGAGCCACAGGCGCCACCCCCTAACCTCATACTTTTAAAAGGCATGCATTTTTGCCTTTGAGATCTTAAATGTGAACAGGTTTCTTTTGGAAAAGATGCATTTCATTCTACAATTACCTAACCCTAACCCTTTAGGGAAAATTTTAGATGTACTCTTGTAAAAAATAACACATTAAATTTTACAACACAAAAAAAATTTCTCTGATAAAAATGAACTTCAGTCCATGAAGTGTATGATGTACGTACAGGCAGTTTGTCATATTCGGCATCTGATGATGAAGGAGAGACAGTAGCACCAGGACTGGACGATGATAGCCTTAAGGTACTGGAAGGATAGTTGGCATCTGGCACAAAAAGGACCTGAGAAAGGGAAAGAAGACATGAAGAACACTACCTAGTGTTCAGTGAAGTCACTGTCTGTTCATTTCAGTGCACGACTAAAACTCAGTTGGCTTTCACAGAACTCATAAGCAACTTGGGGTCTTCTAGACTAATCCATGTAAATGAAGCTCGGCCATCTGAATATGAGCAGTGTGAAGGTTCTGGAACACGTCTGTGGACACTGTAGAAACTCAGAAAAAGGGACAGCAAGGTGGATGAGTATTCTGGGCAGGCCACGGGAAGCAAGTGGGTCCAGTGAAGCCTTGAAGAATAAGTAGAAATAAGATGGGAGAGTGGGAGAGCCCTCCAAGCAAGGGGACTAAAAATAAGCAAATGGAAGAGAGAGAACACAATACCTGTGCCAGGTAGAAATGGAATTAATCTGGGTTTGCTAACTCTAAGCAGGCCCTGAGCTCTAAAATAGTAAGGTCCTTATACAATAAACTGTACAAACTAACATCAACCCAATAATCCCAATGCTTTCTCTTCTATCACTGTCTGGGTTATGTAAAAATAAGAACAGGCCAGGAGCAGTGGCTCATGCCTTTTATCCCAGCACTCGTGGGTGGATCACTTGAGGCCAGAATTTCAAGACCAGCTACAGCAACATAGAGAGGTACCCAGTCTCTACAGAAAACAGAAAAATTAGCCAGGTGTTGAGGTACATGTCTATAGTCTCAGCTACTCAGAAGACTGACAAAGGAGGATTCCTTGAGCCTAGGAGTTTGAGGTTGCAGTGAGCCATTATGATGTCACTATACCATAGCTGGGGTGACAGGGCCAGGCTCTAAATAAATAAATAAATGCATATATAAATAATAACCCCCCTCAATGTACAAAATAACCATTTTTCTGGAAAATATGCTGGTTCTGGAAATGTTGTCATAAATCTGTCATTCAACACTTTTAATTAGACGTGCTACATTTCGGCATATATCCAATGAATCTTAAATTGATGATCTTTAATTATATTAGACAGAATTCAGAGCTAATCACATAACTGGTCACTGATCAGTATTATATACTGTCTCCCATCCTTTCAGCCATATTTCTGTTTAAACTTTAGTTATTTAAATGTCACTTCAATCCAGAAAAAAACCGAGACAATAAAAGACACATTAAGACAAAGGTGGGGAAATCAAAGTCAAGAGGATGTAAGGTGAGGACTGATTACGGACCAAAATTAAGTCCTCCAAAACTCCTACACTCACTGAGAAGTGGGCCCTAAAACTGGCCTTGAGTTTCTATATGAGGAGTGCAAAGATATGGAAATAAACTGTTAGGAGAACTCAATTTCCATAAGTTAAGAAGAAACCAATTTTTCAGAAGTACAAGTACCCTCCCAGGGAGTCTCACTGAACTGTCTGTCCTTGACGACACACTTAACAGTAAATACAACAACCAGTTTTGGAGGACTCTTCTTTATAACATCCTCAATATAGGTCAACGGCAAATGGCAAAGTTTAGAGTTCTGTAAAAACAACTTACAAATCACTAACATTATGTAGTAATATAAATTTTGATATGTAGCTCTTCTTTTTTTTTTGAGACAGAGTCTCACTTTGTCACCCTCAGTAGAGTGCTGTGGCGTCACAGCTCACAGCAGCCTCCAGCTCTTGGGCTTAGGTGATTCTCTTGCCTCAGCCTCCCGAGTAGCTGGGACTACAGGTGCCCATCACAACACCCAGCTATTTATTTTGTTGTTGTTGCTGCAGTTTGGCAGGAGCCGGGTTCAAACCCACCACCCTCCGTATATGGGGTCGGCAACCTACCCACTGAACCACAGGTGCTGCCCTGATATGTAGCTCTTATTTATCTTACATGGCTAAACTGGAAGAATGAAGAGACAGCATTTTCCCAAGCAATTCTTCATTCATAAGTATTTCTTTTGCACATGAACTCCTGAAAATTATTAGCCAAGACAGACTGAGATTCTGTCTGACACATTATAAAGGCTCCATCTAAGGGAGCCTTACTTAAATGGCTCTCTGCACTGCGACAGGGGCGAGTGGAGAACATGGGCCACCTCAGCCTGGAAGTGGGCCTGGGTCATGGGTAGGGTGAAGGTTTCCCACTGCCTTCAGAAAATTATTCTGGGCCTGCTCCAACCCTGGCAAATGTGGTTCTGAGGTCCTAAAATTCTTTATTATAAAGCAAAGCTGTCATTTTAGCCTAGAAAAAAATTTTAAGCATCTGTAGCCAAGGTAGCCTATGAATACAAAACATCTTTAAGTACTATCCACAGTGTAATTTGTGAGGGTGCTCAAGATAAACTACTTGTAAAAGTACATTTTTTATATATGCTCTCAACTGTGATATAAGTATTGAGAATTAACAGCCAAACTCAGGACCTTCTGAAGAACATTTTATGCCTCAGTTATTTACTTTAAGTGTGTCTGATTTTGTTTTTTTTATTTTCTGAAGTAACAAAAGGTCTAGAATTAGATTTTAGTTTCATAAACTCTCAGGTAACCTCCTCTTAAAATCACTGTCATATGAGGGCCCTGACCTAGCCAGACTAGTTTTATTTTCTGTCTTAAGGTGATGGTCAACACAGTCTCCAGAAGGGTGAGTCTCACATTTTTTAAAGCCAGAGCAGATCAAACTGTTTTTGATTTATCAGATCTGCTGAGATGAGAGTGGCATCTACTTCTCTACGTACCCAAATAGAGTATTTTAAAATCCTTGAAATCAAAAGGTCATCTGCAGTTTCTGAAAGTCCTTCAACCTATTTCCCTCTCCTTAATTCTTTATCTTTGCCAGCAAAAGTCATGAGTATAGATGGGTTCTGGGACAGCTAACAGCACACAGTTATTTAATTCTATAAGGGCTGACACCACAATAAAAGCTAAAGGGACATCTAAGATAATACCACAGAATATTATTCAGCCATTAGAAAAGATGGAGACTTTACATCCTTTAGATTTACGGGGATGGAATTGAACTACATTCTTCTTAGCAAAGTATTGCCAGGAATAGAAAAATAAATATCCAATATACTCCGTACTAATAGGAAATCAATATATAAATAATTACATGCTCCTAAGAACAATAAAACACTAATGCAGACCAGTTCAGGGGTGGAAGAGAGGAGGACGTTTGGTAGAAGGAGGGAGGGCATGAGGTGAAATCTCACCTAACGTGCACATTGTGAGGGTGGATAACACGCCCCCTGGCTGCGGGGCTCTGCTACAAATGGAAATTACCCTGGAAGTGAGGACAATGTAACCTCAATATTGCACCCTCGTATTAATTTGAAAAAATAAGAAAAAAAAAACACTAGAAAAAAAAATATGGCCCAACCTCTAATTTCAGAGGTTAGGAAATGGAGATACAAACTGGGAAGTGACTTGCCCAAGACATGTAGCTAAAACAAAACCAGTGTAGACAGCTCTGGGGAGCCTTTTCTTAGTATTTTTACTATTACAGTAGGCGTATTAAAATAGTCATTACACTTCTACCAGCTATTGGACCTTAATCTAGCATCAAGCAACTATTTTTTTTATGGATACAACATCAAGAATCATCCTAAGTTATTTTACTCAATTCCAGTGACTACAGTCTTTTACCTTTAATTACTAAATTTAAGCCTAGCCCAATGAAAGAGATTAAATTCTGTTAGTTATCCTAGAGATGAAAATTTATTAATTTTTGAGAAGTTTTAATGCAGATCTCCACCCCCCACACACCCATTACCTGGTACTGGTAGTATACTAATTTCTCCTTTTGACAAGAACATAAATACCAAAAACACTACAGTACAAACTGGCCAACTTGTGACCCTGTTGCCTTCATGTGCTGCCCTTGAAAGAAATGCAAAGAACAATATCATCATTGCCTGAATGAAGTTGTGCTTCAAAGCAGCATTATCTATTCTGAAAGAATTAAATGTCACTATAATACCGAGATCCATGAAGATGCCCTAGTAAGTTAACAAGGGAACTCTCATGTGATCATGGCAACAAAGTACTTCAATGAATGGGACTGGAGACCTGGCCTCAGCTTAATTCCTCCCATGACTGAACTATTTAAATTTATTGCCTGACTATAGTTTAAAAGTGGAGATACGAGATCTTATCACATAGAAAGAATTAAGAAAATTTTTACTGGATTAACCTAGAGTGGCACAATTCCACAATCTGTTAAATTCATGCAGCTTAACAAAGTACAGTCATGTATCACTCTACCACGGGGATACATTCTGAGGTTTATAGTTAGGTGATTTTGTCGTTATTTGAACACCATCATGTGTACTTAAACAACGGCCTAGTATACACCTAGGCCATATGCCACAACCTATTGCTCCTAGACTATAAACCTGTACAGCACGTTACCAGACTGGATATTGCAGATAAGTCTAATAAGTATTTGTGTATCTAAACATTGAAAAAATACAGTTAAAATACAATAGTATAATCTTATAGGATCATTGTTGTATATGTGGTCCACCATTAACCAAAATTGTTGCTATGCAGTGTGATTGTATTAAAAACCTGGAAAAAAAAATAGAGTGGCCTTTTGTGGACAGTCCTGTTAATTCCTCTGTCTCTGACCAGGGTGACCATTCTTGTTATGGTGTCAAACTAACACCAAAAAAAACCACAATAATTCTGCCCAAATTAAAATAAAGCCATGGCTACAATTACCCTGAAGGGATGGATTAAATTGAAATTTGCAATTCTGAACTAAACAATCTGAGAATATCTGTTATATTCAACAGGGAAAAAAAAGTCACATTAATTTATAAATTTTCTCTCTTTTTTTCAAATTGCTGGAGCTGGGTTCGAACCCACCACCCTTGGGTATATGGGGCGGGCATCCTACTCACTGAGCCACAGCCACCACCCTACAAATTCTCTCGATACCCTACGAAACACCTACTACATAAACTAACAACAGATATAACAAGCTGCATTAATCATTTGCAACGTGTTCATCTCTGAACCAGTTTGTAAGTGTTAGGATACTTTCAGAATTCTTGGATCTAAAGGAGAGGAAAGATTGGAGATAGTCCCGTGACATTGACAGTGAGGCATTCAAGTGGCAATAAAAGGTACACGTGAAATTCTAAAGTCATATTCAACAGGAAAATAATTACCTGGCCTGGAACGATAGTGTGTGTAAAGAGTTTATTCAGTTCCACTAATTTATTGGGAGTGATGTTAAACTTCAGTGCTATGGAGTTTAGGGTATCCTGGCTTCCAGCCTAGAATAATCAAACAAATAAGAGTCAATAGATAAAGCCAAAAAAAAAAAAAAGTCCTTTTGATAGATAACATTAATCTATTCACAATATGAGTAAATGAAAAAGTTAACAGTTCCGAGCAGACAGACCATGAAAATGAGTGGATACATTCTCAATTCTTCATAAAATCACATAAAAGCAAAGTCTCAAATCCAATTCATTCCTGGGCACCACCATCTTTGAATTTTGCTGTCCACTAACAGATTTCTAGTTTTACTTGGACACAACCTAGGTGTATGGGGCAAGATCCAAGAAGCGAAATATAAAATTTCAAGAAGAAAAGAAAGAAGACACACCCACAATTGGGGAAGTGGGGCGACCTCCTCTCTTGTAATTTTCTGTCATTTGTCTGTCTCACTGCTGCAATATAAGTTGATATATATATAACCCAGTGGGCTGCAATATAAGCTGATGCCCAGTGGGCTGCTAACAGCTGTTTTTCCCTGTGCTCAGTGCAGAACCTAGCACACAGAGGGCACTAGAATAGTTAGCACATGAATACTGTGGCAAGCAAGGAAATCTGAAAGAAACTCAGCTACCAGGAATGGCTCACTGTCATTAAAATGATAATTTTCCACAGCCAGCCAAATTAGCGTTGTTCTCTAAGTCTATAAAACCTGTGACTTTTCTTTTCTTCTATAGCACAGGTGGAGTAGGGAGAGAGGACAGTGAAAAGATGAGAAACTTCACAGTAAAATAGAAATTGCTTTCCACAATTGCCCTGTGGTCTTGTCAACATCCCAGGATGTGCCTGTCTGTCCAGAGTTACCAGATGGCCTTGTTAGTGGTAGGTGACTCTGATCAATGTCACTGCGAAGGTCCCATCTATAGCCTTGGGTCAAGTCTGGTGGCTGACTCTGTAATCAGAACCAGCTCTACCAGGTGAGCCTTGGTAGAGTCTCAAATTACGCAGAAATTTGAAGAAGCTGAAGGAAAGTGTGGACTGGTGAAAAAATTGAGATGGAGAAGCAGAATTACACCCATCCCTGCCCTCGGTACCAAAAGCCCATCTACCAGATGAACTGCTTCAGACTGATCTAAGTTTATAGTTACAGTTTACTCTGAAACAGCCTCAGAACCTTTTTAGAAGAAGTTAGGATATAAATACATATATTTTAAAATCACTTAAAATTTACATAAATAACATATGCCCCTAGGGGAGGACAGGATATCCTAAGCCTATACTTATAGCCTAGACACAATCATTTCTACTAAACACAAACTAAAAAGTTTAAAAAAAAAACTTTCTAATTACAGATTTTCAGGGTTTGGAGTCAGGACAAGATTGAGAATCCAGACTCTGGAACTAGATGGCTGAATGTGAATTCCAGATCTCCTACTTGCTATCTGTATGACCTTGGGTCATTTGCTTAACTTCTCTGTGTCTCAAACAGAGCTAATCATAATATGTGCTTTATATAGCACTTACTTTATGGTAAGTGATCAATTAATTTCCTTTATACTGTTGTGAGTAAAGCTTATAAAAGATACCATGTACAGGGAGTTCAGGGAAGGAGAAGAACTTTTAACAATTTCAGTTATTACATAAGGATAACACACAAATATATATATGGAGAGAGAGAGGGAAAGAATATTAGGCCACAGCCCCTGAGAGGGATGCTGGTATCATCGAATGCTTGAAACCAGAATGCTTGAACCTCTATAGCTCAGGAGCAATATAAATAATCCAGGGCTAGCAGGTTCTCTACACCCAAAGTTACATGAGTTATCATTTATTCCAAGGAAAGTGTAAGAATAACTTGCCAAATAAAACAAATCTCTCCATAACATATAATTCAAACAGGTAGGCATAGCTGCCATACTCACTTAATCCCTATTTATATTTACTAATTTGGAGGCTGATTTTTATGTCCACGGCATTATTGAGTATATATACTATGTGATTCAACTTCTAGTAAACAGTGTTCTCACTTCTTTGGAGGGGCTTATAAATTGTACGGGTGAATGAATACACACAGATCTCAAGGATTATGGTTCTAGAATATTGTTCTTAACAATAATTTAATCCCATATTTCTTGACTGTTTATTTCGAGAAAAGACATTCAGCACAGTGCCTTATCAATAACATGTTTTAGAAAGTGGTAATATTTTTTATTTTTATTTGAGACAGAGCCTCAAGCTGTCGTCCTGGGCAGAGTGCCACGGCATCACAGCTCACAGCAACCTCCAACTCCCGGGCTCAAGCGATTCTCCTGCCTCTGAAGTAGTTGGGACTACAAGGCGCCTGCCACACAACACTCGGCTATTTTTTGGTTGCAGCCATCATTGTTGTTTGGCGGGCCAAGGCTAGATTCAAACCTGCCAGCTCAGGTGTATGTGGCTGGCGCCTTAGCCGCTTGAGCTATAGGCACGGAGCCCAAGACAACGGTAATGTAAAATATAATCACCCCAAATCCTTTCTGAAATGAATGGGCCTATAGGCTCCTGAACAATCCCGAGAGATGATCACAGAGCACTGAGCATGAAATAAATGTCTAGGCCAGGCTCTTCAATATGACTCTATAGAGGCTTGGAGAAGAGCCAAAGGAAACACCAGGGAAGGGTCAGACCTTGCTGCTCCCCTCCTGTAGTGCCTGGCATGGTGCACAAATAATGAGCATAAAACAAGTACACGTTGGGACAAGGTAACTAGGTAATGACAACAGCACTCTGTTTCTTCTTAGAAGTCAAAGAGAACACTCATCAATAGTGCTACTTCACAGTGAATTAAAATAGATCTATAACTGAGTGCCCACCCTGTGCCAAGGCTAGGATATGTAAGATACAGCTCTTGGCCTCCCGGAGCTTGTGGTGCAGTGAGAGATGAGAGTTGACACACTGTGTGGCATTGCAGTGATTCAGACATGCATAGCATTGTTCACCTATTGATTCAACAATGCAGAGGCCGACGCCCTTCAAGGTGCAAGAAATACGATGTCAACAAGCAGGTGCAGTGTCTCTCCATAGGCATACAAATCAGGGCACGTGATATACATTAAAATTACAATTACACTAATGAAACAAAAATGTGAAATTGAGATAAATTATATAAAGGAATACTGATTCTGTGAGAGTTAAAAAAAAAAAAAGGATCTGGCCTAGACTTGCTGGATAGTCACGGAAGGTAGGAATGAATGTGGATGTTGAGGATAAGGATGCAGGTTGCATGGTGTGGATGATGAAGCCATTGCTTCTTGAAAAAGGACCAGGCATGGAGGACTAAAGTGAACATGTTGACTAGTCGAGTGAAGTCAGGAAGGGTGTCTGGGACGGACACTGAAAACTGGTACTCACTGTCATATAAAAGGTAAATCTAGGTTTGTGTGGAGGTTCTAGCAGGGGAGCACGGTTACTAGAATGCCCTTAACTGAAGAAGAGTCTTCCTGTCTTGAGGAAGGTCATCCTCTTCATCACAGCTTTGGGGCATACACAGGGAGTAATAAGAGAGCAAGGGGTCACCTGCCCGGTCAGTCAGATTGGCCTTTGCAGCACTGGTGATCAACAGGGGGGCAGATGTTGTAGGCATATCACTCACCTCACATTCTCAAGCCACTGGTTGACAGGGGAGAAAACATAGAGGGAAAAGAAATGACCCAGAACCTATCTGAAGAAACTTCACATTATTTAATGGGTAAGCGAATAGAGCAGCCAGGAGGCAGAATGTGTCAGGATAAACCTTACATAAACCTACTGGTTTTACTCATGTCCAGACACCTTGCTTATACTTACAGTGTATTCCATGGTACCATGGGGCTTCTGAAGCACCATCTTCTTCTCTTTTTTATCATGTGTTTTGTTTTGATTGTCATCTGAAGAATAAATTGATGTCAATGAATAATTTCCTTTTTAAGAAGTGAAGACAAAATAAATCTACAGTACATGAAAACCCAATTTCAAATCAGCTAAGAAACAAAGACACTAATAGAGAAATAAACCCAGGTGACAAACAGACCACATTCACAGAGGCACACTACCCATCAATGGACACCTGGACAAATGGCTAGTCTTATCTATAAGTGAGTCAAAATGGGGTCACTTCTATAGTTACTAATAGTTTAAAAGATGTTTATAAAGTTAAGAGCAAAAACCAGTCTATGATTTAATAAAATAAAAGAAAGAGTAAAACCAGTATAGTCATGATATAAATGATGAATAATGAAAACCAGTACAGCCCTTTTAGAAAGTAATTTGACAAGATGTAGTATTAGCCATAAAAATGTTCATTCTCCAACTCAGTAATCCTTCTCCTAGAAATTTATCTTAAGGGCAAATTCAAAAGAAAAAAAATGCTATGTGACAGAGCATAGGGTTATTACAATATTCATAATACTTGTAATGAAAACTTAGAAAGACATATACATGTCCAGCAATATATTCAGCGGGACCAAAGATTTTGCTGGGGTTTTTTTAAAGTCAGAAATGGCCATTGACATTTTTGGCAGCTACATATGATTCATCCTAAATGCTATAATTAAATATATTTCATTACATTAATCTACATATCAAACCCCATGAAAATATACGGCAATAGATAAAAATTTAAGTGACAGAATATAAAATTGATTTAGTCATGAAAAGATGCTCCGGCTTGTAGGTGATCTGAGAAATGCAAATTAAAACTATGTGTCCATTTTATAACTATTAGCCTGGTAAAATCAGAAAACTGCATAACCCTAAAGTTGACAGAAATGTGAACTGCTACTAGGAATGTACACTGTTCAGTCACTCCAGAGACCTAAATATAGATAGTTCTTATGACCCAGCAGTTTAACTCACAGATATAGATCTTCCCCCAATATATATACTTGACCTGCCTGAGGATATTTATCACAATGTGATCTGTGGCAGAGGGGAGCCAAAAGGCAAGAAAAATGTGGTAGATAAACTCTGAGCTTCCAGACAGTAATTGAAAATAAAAATAATAAAAGCCAGAAGTATACACAGCAAATTTATATCAAGAGAAACAGAAGGGGATGTACAGAAATTTAGATTTAAATGGGCAGCATTTATGTACATTTAAAACAGATGACAGGAAACAACCACAAATATTTTTTAAGGGTACGGAAAAGCCTACACACTTTGAACACAATGGAATGCGTGAAATGGGGAGAGAAATGGGAGTGAGGAATGAAAAAAAGGCATTAATGAATACATAACAAGAAGCCCCCCTGATGACATGCCATGACCCAGGAAGGGTGATCAACTCAGCTCTCTCCACCTGAGGTCCTGCAAACACACACACATAAACACCCAGAAATGTTATCAAGGATATCCTCTCATCTACATAACAAAGATGGGCGTGGTAGACGAAAACGGAAAAGTAACACAGACTGACTTTCCAATATTTCCTTTATATTACTTAAAATTGGAAACCAAGAAGAAAAAATAAATTTAAATCAGAGCTACCCTTAGAATTCTGTTCTAGTCATCTATATGTTCAAATCAGATCCATTTGTATAACCCAAAAGACCATAAAAACCACCTTTAGTCTATAAAAAAACCCCTGATCTCTCTACCTCTACATGATCACATCTAAATTACTTGAGGAAGACGGGACTACTGACTGTGGACTTTAGATCTCCAGAGATCTAAAGCTTATTCAAAAACCCAATCACAATATTTTACAAATCAGTAAAAACTGATTTGATTAGTTCCTGGCAGGTAAGACATAAAATGTTAACAAAACTCTCCCTTTTTTCCTCATAGACAATCTGAAACCTTTTAATTGTTTCCTTTTGCTTTGTTCACATGGAAGATGAAGACCCCGGGCTACCAGGCCCAGACACGGCCTTCCCACAATCCCTTTTGGCATCAGGCTAAATGCTATTTGCTCCTTTAACCATCTCAGCTCTCCTTTCTTTGCGTACTTCTGCCCTCCTCATGGTCTCCATAAACAGCTGTCACTGTAGCTCCTCTCGCTGTCAGAACAGCCTGTTTATATTCTTTTAAGCTACTTCCAATTATAAAGCCGAAGATGCTTCCTTCTTTCCTGGTGTGCAGCAGCTGGTCCACACCCTTCCGTAAGTTGTACACAGGTATCTCTGGGCACAGTGGGGAACACTCACTACTTTAAGCCACCAACATGTGGGGGCTTCTATCTTGTCCAGTGAGGGGAAAAAAACCTGTGTGCTGACTGAACCTTTCGGGACAAACTTTACTATGAATGCTGGAATCAGTATGAAAATTAAATTACCTTTCATTGGTGCCACTGAGTAGGCTAGAAAAAGGTCAAGCATGCAATATTACTAAAAGGAAAAAAAAAAAGCCTTCCCTCAGAGTCTAAGGTTTTGAGATCCTGGAGGTAATGACCATAATGTACCTAGCTTTGAATGTCCTGTACCTTAATATGATACCCGATATATCTGGTTGAATAAACTTCCAAGTATAGATCAGTGAGCCTGATCTGTTTGGCTACAGACAATACTTTTCACCAACGTAACATCACACCGGGCAAATCATGTGCGCCTGTCAAAGCCCAAACACTATGTTTCAGTCAGCTCAATACAGAAAGTAGAGAAGTAACTGACAAATTCTAAGGATCGAATTTAATTCACTTTATATCAGCAGAGCCCAAAGTTAAGTTTTATATTGCTTCCTAAATACTTTTTGTGGTGAGTGGTAAAGATGATCAATAGTATGTCTCAACATGCAAAGTTCTGAGTGTCTTACCAAGACAGGTTCTGCTGCACAGAGTCCACAAAGCCCTGGAGAGGTTTCTGGCTCTGGAGAGAGCCAGGAAGACACAGGAGCTGCCGCGGGACAGGACCATTCTGCTGGGCTTCGAGATGGGGTTCTACCTCCCATGTTTTAGGTAAGGACCCATGACCATCCCCAAGGGTGCCACTGTCTTGCAGTGACACTTCCTCTTCCACTTCTGGGTCCAGGCCTTTATACCTGCTCAGATTCTGGCCCTCCCTCTGTGCCCAGGGAGCTTAGGCAAATGATGTCAAAGTATCTACTGCCAGAGGGGAAAGTTGGCCAACTGCTCCTCAGAAGCCACTCGGGCTGTATGGACTGTATCCCAGTCCAATAAGGAAGTACCTGTGACAAAAATGAAAAAAGCCCCAGAGGAATGAAACACAGCCCTTCAGCTTAGTGCACTTCACACTGCATAAACCTTGAGGGAGCTGGAGTGGGGAACTTGTGGGTAACTTGCTCTGACTTAACCCTGAGGGATCTTGGTGCTCCGCCACTTCCCTCTCCGCCACTTCCCTCCCCGCCCCGTGAGAAGGCCTCGAGGGCCCAGAACACAAGCTCTTGGCTCCTGCACATGAGAAGAGAACAGGTACGAGTGTGTGGCAGGAAGACTCCTCTCTGTGTGCATCAGGACATCCGGCAGGGTGCCCGGCCTGGAGGGGCAGGACCGTGGCCGGGTGTGAAGGAATCCCTTGTACTGGAAGTCCTGGAAGAGGTCATGACTGCCATGACAGTAAATCTTATGAGGAGGTTTGAGATTTGAGAACAGAACCTAAGAAAGGTTTAGGTTTAAAGGAATAACAAAAAAATTACAGCAGTAGAAGGGCAGAAAAGCAATTAGAGAGATGAGGAAAAGAATGGAATATCACTGAGCCATGGAAAAATGATAAAGGGAGGTGTTTTTGACACTGTTGGATGCTACACAGAGGCCCAGAGATACAAGCCTGGGAACGGCTGACTGGAAGTCAGCGAGGGCTCCTGCCAGTGGAGGAAGCTCAAGACAGATGGTGTCAACCCCAGCAGTGAAGCAGGGGTGAGGTCCTCTGCTAAAGCATAACAGGGTAAAGACAGGCCTAGCGGAGTAAGAGGTGGTGAAATTTATTCATTTTTTGAGACAGAGTCTCACACTATCACCCAGGCTAGAGTGCTGTGACATCCCAGATCACAGCAACCTCAAACTCTTGGGCTCAGTGATCCTCTTGCCTTAGCCTCCCAAGCAGCTAGAACTATAGGTCTGCGCCATGATACCTGGCTAGTTTTTCTATTTTTAGTAGAGATGTGGTCTCACTCTTGCTCAGGCTGATCTCGAACTCCTGAGCTCATGCATCTACCTGCCTCAGCCTCCCAGAGTGTTAGGATTACAGGCATCAGACACCATGTCCTGCCAAGGTGATAAAACTTAGAAGAGTTACTATGGCAAAGATAAGGTTTCAATAATGTGAACATTAAAAAGTTAGACAACAACAAAGGTTCACCTAGATGTGGGGTCTCAACACCAGGGTGACAGCTGCATGAAGTAGGTGAGTACACCACAGTAGGGGCCATCTGCAGAGCTAGAGCAGCTGTGGGTGGGGGACAGTGAGATGCTGGAGGAGAGAACAGTGTGGTAAGTCACCTTCCTTCTGCTGCTATAACCAATGACCACACATTTAGGGACTCACAAGTAAAAACAAACACAGATTTATTATCCTACAATTCTGTAGATTAGAAGTCAGGGACAGGTCTCACTGCTTTCCTTCTAGAGGTGCTAGGGGAGGGTAGGTTGCCGTGCCTTTCCTAAGTGCTGGCAGCTGGCTACTTGTCTTGGCTCAAGGCCCTTCCTCCATCTGCAGAGCCAGCAGCATTTCTCAAGTCCATCTCACATTGCCATTTGTCTAGCCCTCTCTCTCCTATCACCCTCTTGCACTTTTCAGGACTCTAGTGATGACACTGGGCCACCTTGATAATCCAGCCAGATCCCCTGGCAGCCAGCAGGTTGGCAACCGCGATGCTATGTACAACCTTGATTCGCTTTTGCCATGTAACATAATAGGTTGTGAGCATTAAGACATGGCCATCTCTGTGGGGAGGTCATTACTCTCCCTACCACAAATGGAGAACAGATTTTTGAGAA